AAAAAAAAAAAAAAGAAAAAGGAAGAAAGAGAAGTAAATAAGCCAGATTGAGGTGTGACCCTTGCCAAGTCAACCACACAACAGGGAGCACCACCTCAGGGTCATCTGAGCAGCCCTGGCGCTGCCCACCCTGCCCGTGTCCCCAGCAGCCTCACGCTGCGGCCGGGGGGAGCCGGGGCCGGCCCCGCGGACCCCGCGGCCCCGGGGCAGAGCCGGCCCCGGCCCGCAGCTCCGTGCCCGGGGGGGGCTGGCAGGGCGGGGGTCCTGCAGCAGCCCCCGCCCCGAGCAGAGCCCGTGGGGCAGCACGAGGCCGGGCCCGGAGCGGGCAGCGCCTGCCAGCAGGGAGCAGGTTCCGAGGCAGAGAAAGCTGCCTGCTCAATAATTAAATAAATATCAGCGATCGATAAGCACAATGCACAGGCAGAGCCGCAGTGGTCGTGCTGCGGGCAGGGGGGGTCCCGAATCTCCCCTGCGGCCGTCCCGGCTCTGGGGGGGCTTGCAGGGCCGCCCCGCTCGCCGCCGCCCTGCCGCGTGCCACCGGCCCACGGCGGCGTGGCCTGCGGTGACACCAGTGTCCCCAGCACGGCGTGGGGCTGTCCCTCGACACCCTGGCGGGGGCTGGCATCGCCCCTCGCCCGGCGCGCTGAGGGGGTGCCCCCACATCCTGCCGCGCACGGCCCCCCTGCCCGCCAGCGCGGCGTGGCACGGCGGGGAGCGCATTGTCCCGAGGCTGGGGGGCTCTGAGCAAAGTGCCCGTGCCCCCCAACCCCTTGCACCCCACCGTGTGCAGCCCGGCTGCGGGGAGGGAAGGAAAAAGTTTCACGCTACGCAAGAGCAGCACGGCCGAGCCCGAGCCTGCAGCGCCGACCCCCCCCAGGCTCCCCGAGCCCCCCGAGGACCCCCCGCGCCCCACGGTGTCCCCCTCACCCCCAGAGCCGGCGGCTTCCCCGCACCACCCACCTCTGCACGCAGCGAACAAAAAATAAAACCCAAACCACAACGCAATCTTCCAACCCCCCCACGCCCCAAGTGAAAGTGAAGGCTGAAAAAACCCAAAAAGCACCAGAAACACCATAAAAAAACCCTGCAAAAGGCGAGGGAGGGGGACAGGAGGGGAACGCGGCTCCTCTGAGCAGCCCTGCACGGCCCCAACTCGCCTTTATCTGTTACGATTATTTTTAGGGAGGGAGGTGTTGCATTTTCTTGGGTTTTCTTTTTTTTTTTTCCTTTTTTTTTTTTTTTTTTTTTTTTTTTTTTTTTTTTTTTTTTTTTTTTTTTTTTTTGGAATTGCAACTGCTGAAGTCTGTTGCGGCGAAAGGAGCAAAATGAGGGGAGGGGGACGCGGGGGGGTCCCGGTTACCTGGGTCAGGCAGAGAGGAGACGAATACATCCCGAGCCGTGCTGGGAAAGTGCCTAATTGCAGGGCTGAGACTCGAGGCGTAAAAGTTACTGAGTCATTTCGGAGGCTGGAGCAGTCCGGGCGTTTTTTCTCTCTCTCTCCTCCGGAGCGGCTCTGCGGGGCCCGGGGGGGGGCAGCCGGGCACGGGGGGGCGGCCCCGCGGGAGGGGGGGCCGAGGAGGAAATAAAAAGATTCCAACTTCCACCCCACCGCCAAAAAAACTAAAAA